TGCCCCCTGCATCGGCAGGCGGACTCCCAACCACCGCGCCACCAGGGAAGCCCTCCTCTCTCACTCTACTGGTCAGGGAGGCCTGGCTCAGCCCAGCCCTCAGGCCCCCACTGGAGGCTCACCGATGCCCTCCATGAAGGCTGGGTAAAGTCGGTCTGTGAGGAGGGGCTCGGGCAGCTCCCGGAAGTATAGCTTGAGGGTGCCAGCGATGGCGTTGATGTCCATGTCACTCAGCATCAGCAGGATGTCCTTGTTATCTGTAGGGGAGACAGGAGGTCAGGGGCTGTGCTGGCTGAGCCACCTCCGTCCCCCACGCAGCCCTCAGCTGGGCAGGTAGCCCTGTTCCGTCCCTCTATCCACCCTGAGACAGCTTGCCCGGGACACCCCCACACTGTCTCCAGTCTGCTCTCCCCAGGAATGGCAGGATGTAGGTAGTGTCCACAGGTGGCCTGTGACTCAGCTCCGTGGGGGGAGGGGAGCATAGATCATCATCCAGAGTCCTGGAGCCACACTCACACCACGTGTCACATGCCCTCCTTCCAACTGGAATCTCCCCACTGCTAAGCCCCTCTCTGGAAGGCGCTGCGCATTTTTTATACCTAAAATCATGTTCCGACAAAGCCTCAGCTTCCAGGTGGCACAGAGGAGCCGTGTGCCAGCACGTCCCCAGCTCCCCACCCCAGGCTCCCCGAACACGTCTGCCGGGCAGCTGCCCAGGGACACCCACCAGGCCCCCTCTCAGCTCCCAGGGAATCAGCACTGCCCGGCCAGTTCAGGTGTCCTGACTACTGGGTGTGCTGTTGCTGCAGCCTGAACGGCGAGATAGGGGAAAGAACCAGAAAGGTCAGGTGCCACCACCAAGGAGCCTACAGTCAAAGCGAGAGGCAGCAATGCCCCTCCCAGAGGGCACTGGGGGCCCGGGAGAAGGTGGAGGTGCCCGTGTCAGCCAACCCAGGCTCAAAGCCCTTTAGTTTCCCTGCAGCCCACCAGGCACCAGGGAGCCAGCAAGAAAGCCAGGAACACAGACTCTGGAACCTGAAAGATCTGAGTTTAAATCAGGCTCAAAGCCTGTATACTGAGTAATCCTGGGCAAGTGACTTGGCCTCTCTGAGGCTCAGCTTCCTAATCTGTAGCGATGGAGAAGAGATTGGAGGGCAGGGGATCACCCCATGCCATGCTGGGCTGTAGCTCACAGACCGAGGCTCCTCTGCCATGGGCTCGCGGAGGCCTCTCCGTGAAGCCTCCCGCTTCTGCTGCGCTCTCCTCGCAGCCCCACGAGCCTGCCGGAGCGCCCCCTGCCCGCTGCTGCCCAGCTGGGCCTCCCAGACTCACTGGCATCAAAGACGGCCTTCAGCGCCTGGATGTCTGTGGCCACCCCTGATATCCGGTAGATGCCAACCTCCTCGATGCCTCTCTTCTCCACCTCCTCCACGCACTGCCGGACGATGTAGGGCACCTTGGAGCGCTCCCGCCTGGTGGGGAAGGGATGTGAGGGGAGGGAGGATAGAGGGAGCCCCCCAGTGATAGCTATATGTACCCCTTCTCTGCGAACCTTGGCCTTAGAGAGCTCTGGCTTCTGGGATCAGGAGGTGGGGGGCAAGGAGAGGGCTGAGAAAGAGGCCACGCCACCCCACCCCCCAACAGCCTGCCTGCAGCTGAGGGACAGCGGGGGACAAGGGTGGGAGGGAGGAAGTTTTAGGAGATCAACCCAAAGACTAAAGAAAGAGTG